CCAGTGGCAAGCGCGATTGGCAATTTTCTCGAGGACCCCTCAGTACAAGCAAAGCGATTTTTTCCAAGTCCGGGTTTCTCGCTATGGGTTTATATCGTGAAAGCCGTCTCTTGGTGGTATCTTTTAACCAGGTAAAACCATCGAACGGGAGCGTGTCTTTTTTAGATTCCGCGTGAGAACAAATTTTAGTTTTTTACAGTTTTTAAGGGGGGGGGGGGGCAATGCCCCGGGGCCCCGAGGTTTTGGGGGCCCGCAAGCACGGGGAAAAGAGAGAGAGAGAGAGAGAGAGAGAGAGAGAGAGAGAGAGAGAGAGAGAGAGAGAGAGAGAGAGAGAGAGAGAGAGAGAGAGAGAAAGAGTACCGTACAAAGCTTTGAAATAACATATATTTTGGCTGCAAGTTGAGCTCTGTATATCAGACAACTTCACAGAACACTGGTAGTGCTTTCTTGGACATCTGTAATTGATTAACCATTACGATCCTCTCCTTGCAGAGCATCTTAGAAAAGTTGAAAAATTACAAAAAGAAGAAAGGCGCCTACAAGTTCACTTCTATCTATCGCCAGAAAGTCAATATGAATTCATCCAATTTTGTGCATCAAAAGTGACAGACGTGATTTTGAATGAAAGAGCGGAAACGATATATTACTCCATTATCGTTGATGCAACACCAGACTCTTCACACGTCGAACAAACTTTTTAATATTTATTTTGCGTTATGTTCACTTGGACAGTGATACAAATGTCTCCAAAGTAGAAGAGAAATTTCTGAAATGTGTAGATTGTAACAAGAAAACAGGAGCAGACATCACTAAAATTATCCTTGATACAATGAATGAAAAAAACATACCAATTACAGACTGCCGAGGCCAAGCTACGACAACGGTAGCAACATGTGTGATCTGTCTTAATAATGGTGGACAGGCTCACATTTTAAGACAGTGTTCACTTGCAACATACTCTCCATGTGGCTGTCATATTGAATTTATGTGAGGTGCATTCTGCAGAAAACTGTTCAACAGTCATAACTTTCTTTGGAGTTGTACAGAAGCTCTATAACATTTTTAGTTCCATCCACAAAGGTGGGAAATTTTGAAGCAAAACATTCCCAGCTCTTTGCACAGTATGTCTCAGACACGTTGGTCAGCACGTGTTGACAAGAGTCAGGCCTTTCGAGGCTCTCATCGGGGGACTGAGGAAAGCTGTTCAAACTGTTCTTTAAATGAACCTCACCCCAGAAGCACGTTCAGATTTGATTGGTATTCTTAAGTACTTTGCATTATTTGAATGTGTGATAATGGCATCTGTTTGGCTCAAAATCCTCACAGCAATCGATCACAGAAATACAGTGTTTCAAGCACGAGATACGACACTTGACGTTGAGGTGGCAAATATCAATAGTCTAATTAAAGATTTGAAAAGCTTGCGAGATGAATGGGACGCAATCTTGAGTGAGTCCAAATTAGTAGCAGATAACTATGAGATTAGGGATTCATTCTCCGACAAAAGAAAAGGAAGCTTTTTGCAGACGAGGCAGAAGATGTAGCAGACTACCAAAATTCCGAGAACAAATTCAAACATGAAGTTTTTTATGTCCTCATTGACTGCCTTCTTGGAAATTTGAGGACAAGGTATAATTAATGAAGTGATAAAACTCGATTAGTCATTTAGTGTTTTATGGGAGTATCTCCAAGAGGAAGTCGGCGTTATTCGTGATCTTGCAAACAAATTGCACACGAAATATGCAGTGAATGCATCAGCAGACCTTGTGCAAGAGATGGAACACTTGAAAGTGATTCATTCCGCGAACATTGGAGAAAATGTCCTGTCGTCTCTTCAGTAGCTGAACAGACTTCATTCCCTGAAACTGGATGCTTCGTTTCCAAACGTTGTAATCATGTTGAGAATCTTACGCACCTTGCCTGTCACAGTTGCGCAAGCTGAACGTTCCTTCAGTACCCTTTCACGGGTGAAAAACATTTTGCGGGGCCCACATTGTGTCGAGACAGATTCACAAGTCTTGGAATTTTGGCCATAGAGGCCAGTCTAGCGCGAAAATTTGACTAAGAACCAATAATTGACAGTTTTGCTAGAGCTAAACCCCATGGGCTCCGTTGTAGTAAGAAAAAAAGGTAAGCTACATTACAATTTATTTTTAATTTTTGTCATTGGTTTATTCATTTTACCTTCATTTTTAACGACCCGGTAAATCAAAAACATAAAAATGTTATGTGGACAACACCCAGCACTTCATGGAGGGGGACGAGACAAAGGAGGTTGGG